GTATAAGTGGGAGCTAAACATTGGGTACTCGTGGACATAAAGATGTGAATAATAGACCCTGGGACTACTAGAGGGTGAAAAGGTTGAAAAACTATCTGTTGGGTATTATGCTCACTACCTCGTGATGGGATCATTCATAACCCAAACCTCAGCATACACAATATACCTATGTAAACAAACCTGAACGTGTATCCTCTCAATCTAAAACAAAAGTTGAGGAAAAAAAAGGGGGACCTAGTGAATAATGCTCAATTAAAAGGCTTTATTTTCAGGATCTTGAGAAGATGTGGGAGGGGAGAAGGAAGAATAGAAATAAAGGATTAATTTGAAGCTTGGGTTCTTGGGTGGAGTGGAAGCCAAGACAAGCATAAAGGTACATTTAGTACTCATGCATTCACTACAATAGCTAGTCTAAACTTCGAAGCTTCCATTCCTTGGACTCTGATATATGGTGTTTTGACCATGACTTAGCAAGCTTGGTTCTACTCCTATGTTTCTAATTTTAACAATTTACAGGTTACTCTTTTCTTGATCTTAGCTTTAAAGGTGACTCTGATCACCTAGATTCCTCATGTGCTTGCAAACCTAGGTAAATATCGAGTCTTTCGCTACTGGGGATATATTCGCTAGATGTCCAGCATCTACCATGTTCCAGGCACTGTCTTAGACACTGGGTATACACAAATAAGACAGTGTCTCTGTCCTCAATGAATGGATGGTCTGCTGAGGGAGGAGTTCCAGTTAACTGCAAGTTATGAGAGCTGGAATACCCTGTGTTGGAGTGTGTGTGGTGTGCGATGAGACAGCAATGGAGGAATACACAACACCTGGGAAACCTGGAAATATGTCAGGGAAGGATTCCCAGAGAAGGACACTCTCTTTATCCAGAGAGAGGGTAAAAGAAGTTTGTCAGGAGGATGAATGGAGAAGAGAGTTCCAGTAAAATGGAACAAGGGCAGCAATAAGTAGCAAGTACAATATTGTGCTTCCCGAGATATTCGGGTGACTGAATGTTGTATGCAAGATAATTCTAGCATCAAGCATTAAAGAACATTGAATAAAACCATAGAAGTAACCTCCCTCTCAATCATGGCTAACTCAGGGAATAAATCTTTCTGTGCTTTCCAAGTATATTTTCCATCTCCCTAACACTTTCTGAACTCCCTTAGTGTCAAACAGAGTATAGGCTTACTGCTCAGAACTCTGAGCAGGCAACAGTATCTTGTTAGAACTTAATAACTTTGTTTCATTTTTATTATATTTATTTTTACAGATTTATTTTCATTATGGCAACTGATAGCAGTTTTCCATTCACAGCATTGCTACAAAGTTTTAGTTGAAATTACTTTATTGTAGTTAAAAATGTAGTCAATTAAAAATAAACAATATGCAAAAAATAATACAGGTGGTACATGAATATGTCAATAACCACAGAGTTTATATGCCAATGACTGGGGTTTCTTAAACACTGGTGTGGTGTATTTGGGAACTAGAAATCCATAAGATCCCAATGAAGAATGAAGGTGGGAGACAAGAATGTCAGGTGGGGGCTGTGGAGGGGCCATAACCAGGAGATTGACACAATAGGGTTTGCACATAGAGAGAGTCTTCTAGCATGGTGTGAAGGATGGCCCAGGGGAGTGAAAGGAAGTAGATGAGTCAGGCGGCAAATGGAGCCTAGTGATAGATGATGATAAGGCATAAACAAGAGACGAAGCAGTGAGGCTTTGAAGGAGGGGGTGGACTTGTTTGACCTATCAGTGGTATGATCACCAATTAGATGTGGAGGGAGAAATTTAGGATATTGCTCAGGTCTGGCTTGGTCAGTGGATGACATGTAGCTCTACTAACCAGATGAGGAGATGCTTCCCCTTAGTTGTTCCTTTGCTTGATAACCGACATGATTTTAACCCTGAGTGGAATTCTTCATGTCACTGACTCTGCATAAATGGCTCAACAGGAAGGATTCAAGGTCTTTCCCCTCACAGTCCTAGCTAGAGATCTAACACTTTCAGGCAAGCAGAGCAGAATCCAAAATGTGTGGTGGGTTAGCATGTTTTCCTGTTGTGAAAGGGAAGTTTTTGGTCAAGCAAATCATGGAAAAGATGAAACACCATTGACTCTGCCTTGGAATTTTCTAAAGGACCCACCACTAATCAAAGAGGACTTCTTATTCAATACAATTTCTCTAAATTCTAACCCCAATAATTTTTGTGAATTTTTGTTCACAGTCTGAAATCATGTGGTCTTAGGACTTCAGATCTTTTGAAATCAGAGGTAACAGTGAAGGGAAGAGCTAGGAAATAAGGGTTTTAAACTAAGGAGGTACTTAGAAGCAGTCTTTGTTTAGCAAAAAAAAAAAAAAAAAAAAAAAAAAGGAAAGTAAAGGGAGGGCGGAATCTTTGTGGGGGAGACTCTTAAGTGAGGGCAGAATCATCTCATTATTTGAAGAAATTTGGTTCCAGGGGGTTGGGGCACTTGGAGTAGGTGTCTGCCATGCACAGCATTTTCTCTCTTCCTTATTCTTAATGGTGAAGAGAACTTGGGATCCAAGATAAAATTGTCTGTGTTGTTATCTGATGAGCTGCAAAAGTACAAATCTAGGAAGCCCCTTCCTCTGAAGAAAATGAAAGGTTTGCTTTAGGCTTAGCTGGAAGAAACTAGAAGTCCTCTACTGTCTAAGCATCTCACTCTAGGACAAAGGGCTCCTCCAGTAACGCAAAATGAATCACCGTCTAGGGACTAGAAGACAAATATTAGCTTAACTCATGATAATAATTAGAAAGGTACAAAGTTTACATCTAGAATATTATTTAATTTAAAAATAATAAAATGTCCTTATGAAATATTTTTATGATGAGCTAGAGTTATGGCTGTTTTCAATAAAAAATTTTTATTTAAATGAAGGATAATGAATGGAATGTTATATTCGACTCTCTTGCCATTAACAAGGCCTATATTACAAGCCTGATGATTGATATCAGAGACTAAGTCACCCCCATCTTGGATGTAGTATAAAGTTTTAAAGGATTGAAAATAAATAGGTTAAATCCATAAATTATTAATTGCTTCATACCCAGGATGAGAAAAAAAAATCCTGTTTCATGCATGAAGTGAAGAGCGAGGAGAATTTGAGGAATTATTGGATAGATATGGGAGCTATGTGGTTTCTCACATTTGGAACTTAATCCGAAATCAGACTCCTCTAATTTGGTTACTCTGCAGACTTTTGGTGGGATTTTATGTATATATATATACACACACATTTTTTTTTTTTGAGATGGAGGTTCACTCTTGTTGCCCAGTCTGGAGTGCAGTGGCATGATCTTGGCACACTGCAACCTCCACCTCCCGGGTTCCAGCAATTCTCCTGCCTCAGCCACCCAAGAAGCTGGGATTACAGACCTTAGCCATCATGCCCAACTAATATTTGTATTTTTAGTAGAGCTCGGGTTTCACCATGTTGGTCAGGCTGGTCTTGAACTCCTGACCTCAGGTGCTCTGCCTGCCTCAGCCTCCCAAAGTGCTGGAATTACAGGCATGCACCACTGCACCCAGTCTATATTTTTTCAAAGAAATGGAATGTGTCTGAACATCCTGGGTAGACACTAAGACAAACAGTTATACTATCAATCTAGGATCATTTTTGGTCATTCTTCTAGATGTTTGCAATGACATTTGGAGGTAGTGTTATAAAATTCTACAGAGTCATGGTTTAGTAAATTACTTTTAAATTATGTTAATAATAAAACCTAATGTAATAAGCTGTTAAAAATGAGAGTTAACATGAAATAGTATGGCTGCATAAGACGCAAGCTGCACTTACACTGCATTAAAACAAGAAACACATAAAGTCCTGGGTGGTGGCTCTTGACTGTAATTTCAACTCTTTGGGAGGCCAAGGCAGGAGGATCACTCAAGGCCAGGACTTGAAGATCTGCCTGGGCAATGTAGCAAGACCTTGTCTCTACCAAAAAACAAACAAACAAAAAAATAGCTGGGCATGGTGGAGCACACCTGTAGTCCAAGCTACCCAAGAGGCTGAGGTGGGAGGATAGCTTGAGCCCAAGAGTTAGAGGTTGCAGTGAGCTATAGTGATGCCATTACACACCAGTCTGGGTGACAGAGCAAGACCCTGTCAGAAAACAAAACCAAAACCTAAAGAACTTATTAAAGCTACAAAGTTAAATGTTGTTTGGTGACGTGTCTCAACATGCAGTTGTTGTTTAAAAGGATTTGCTTCCTGGCACTATCTTGGTGAAATGATAACGCAAAGTTTATTTGATCAATTTGTGCAATGTAGACCATGTCATTCGGAACTGAGAAACATATTCTAAATCTTAAGGACCTGGAGGGGAAAGGGCAAATAGAAGGTGCCATTTGAATAGTCACTATGTGTTAGACACTTTCAAGCTTTCTTACATGCATTCAAATTTAATCCTGATCACACCAGTCTTGTAGATCAGGATATAAGCTTGGGGGAGGAAGTTGTTCACAGTCAGTAGGTTTCTAAGTGGTGGGGAGAGTGCTCTGACCACAAAGTTCCTCCTCTTTTCACTTTAGGATGCTACCTACATGTTGAAAGTGTGAATTTATTCTTACAGCTACACTTCATTTCCTTAGAAAGCTAAGATGAGGGAAAGGTGCATAGAATGACTAAGCCAAGCAAACAGGCGTCTGGAATAACTCTAAACCAAAGCTGGAAGGGGTCACATTTTTCTAAAAAGAAACTTAGCTGTAAATGTAACATACTGTGCACATAAAGAAGGGTTGAAAATGAAAACCTATTTGTGCTGGAGGCAGGGAAAGGGGAAGAATACAATAGAAAGAAACAGGATTTGCAGTCAGAAAAACTGGGTACAAATGTCAGCTCTGCAGCTCGCTAAGACGTGTAACTTTAAGGAAGATTTTAACCTTCCTGAGCCTAAATTTTCCTCATAGCTTACCATATCATGTAACGAGAACAAGAAAGAGATAAAGGATGTTTTAAGCCATAAAAATGTTATAAAATGTGATTTTTATTTAATAGTTCATTTCTCTCTATATTAGCAAACCTATATATAAGCCATTAAAGATGTTCAAATCGGCAGAGTAATTCTTTTAGCCTTTTCTGCATGCTGTGGGGTGGGCAGAGATGTCTTTTTTTCTTTCGAATTCTGTTCCAATTTCATTGGAAGGGAAAGCGTTAGAAAGAGATCCTGGGTGAAACTATTATCCCATTCTCTGTCTCTTCTTTAAAAATTTCTGATTTTCTTCTCCTAGTCTGTTTTTAAAAAGCTCAGGTAGATCACAATAGGTTTCCTCCAGGTAACCAAACTCTTTTCCTATTTCCCTGGTGGATAAACTTTTGAAGTGTACTTAAAATTCAAAATCAGTAGCTACACAGAGAAGTCCACTAATTGCAGTACCAGGAGGTCAACAGGAGCTTCAAGATATCTGCAGAAGAGGGCATGGCCACCCAACTCAACGACAACCTTAAAGGTTAGGAATATTGCAGCTTCCTGTAGCAACAAGAGAGTTTTGTCTTTCATAAAGTGAAAGTATTTGTATTTCCTGCCAAATTAATCTTTTGGAGGATTAGTTCCCATATATTTACTTTATTAAATCAGTTTCAAAGAGGACAAGCCAGACATTGAGCACAAAGTGATTCATATAAACTCAGCTACACTTTCCACTCCTTCCAGCATCTTGAGTCTCTTGGTTTTCAGACCTGCCTTATTTAATTCCAAATCATGAACATCAAGTTCTTTTGTCATTCATGGTTAGGACAGAAAAGAAATCTAATGATTGGGAAGACTCAGGTTTGCTTGTTTCCAGAGCCAGCCTGGGGTTGAACATTAAGAGATAACATGGTGTTGACCAAGAAGGGAGAATTGTAGTAATTATCCAGATATTCAATCTGGCTGTATGTGAGTCTGAGTCTTCATTCTTTCCAAAGCACCTCACCTCCTTCACACATGTGCTTCTGCTTCAATTACTAGATCCCAGGCAAACAATTTTAACCAAAATTACTACGATCGCTGCTTATAGTGTTCAATTTGGGTACAAAGCCACAGCAGAAACTGAGAATAATGTCTCAGCCTTTAAGTTTGAGACGTTATTCTTAGTTATTATTCTCAGGCATTATTCTGCATGGCTGGTTGGCTGATTGACTCTAGAGCAAGTGAAAGAGTGTGATGGCTTTCAGAGAGTATCTGTTGGGAATTTTTGTCTCTCTGGGTATTTGTATGTGCATGAAAATGAAAGTTGTTGCAAATGTGAAGATTTCAAGCATTTTTCAAAAATTTATTAATATAAATAGGAAAAACTAGCTCAGTCAAAAGCTACAATTTAAATCTCCTGAACATCCAGAATGTCTGGAAATGATCCTGGTGGAGCAATAACTAGGTAATAGGAATTGCATACATAGATGGAGGTGGATGTTGGTGGGAAGTCTTGGGTTACCCCCTAACTCTAAAGGAGGCCACTGTACACTCCAAAGGATTGCTGACCTTTGCTCCATATACTTCAGAAGCTCTTAACCTAATTGTAATAAAGAGCAAAATGCTTGAAATACATGAAAGGTACCATGCAAATATCTATTTGTTAAAATATGGCTTTTGTCTAGGTTAATTGCAGTAAGAAAAGTAATACCCTCATTTCTATGACTCAGTCTTAGAATACGAGAATTTTCTCATGTAAAGGCTCCTCCCTGAGCAGTTAGTTAGACATGAGTTTGATTTCTTTTATTGACAGAATAAGGGGAATAAACCCAACTTGGCCTTCTCCTCTTCTAAAATTGTGAATCCATAAATTGTGGGCCTGATGGAAAGTCAATTAACTGGCGCTATAGGGAAGAGAAGCGTGGCCGTGTCTCAACTGGCTGCCTTTTAGGCCACTATGGGCCATTGGACTATTTGAACCATAAAAGCATTTTTCTTTGCTTTTCATGATTGAATGGCACATTGACATTTTCATTAGTCTGAGGGAGTTTCTTACTGTCACTACAAAACATAGCAACAGCCAGGATCCAGGCAGTCATGCCCTAAAATAGTCTCTCTCTATTATTGTGTATGGAGGAAAAAGGAAACACCATACTATCTGGTTGTGTGGCCTCTTCGACAAGGAAGAAAGTGATAAACAGCACTGACAGGGAGAAGATGATTCCAGAACAGGCGGTTTGGCAAAAGCAATGGACAGACAAGATGATCATGGGGTTCATGAAACACAATCCTAAATTAGCACAACTATGGGAATGAGACAAAAGGTGCTGGTCTAACAGACTGAAGCTGTAGTCTGCTGAGCAACACTCCCAGGTCTCCACAGAGTAGCATTTTTATTGCAGTATGTCTTTCATGGAAAATGGACAAACTTTAAATAAATCACAATTACTTATTGCTTAGTATTTTGAATAATAAATTCTTTAGTTTATCAGTACCTCACGGCCTTCAATGTGCATTCTTCAATAGTTTCAATTACATATACATTCTTTCTCCTGAACAATAAATTATTCTTAAAAAAAAGAAAAAGGGAAAGATACATAATTTTAAAGCAAAGAAAAACAAAAGAACATATATTTTTGACATTTATCTTAAACTTATATGAAAACAACTCTATATGTTAGATGCTTAAATATAAATAATAAAGGACATTATGTTATTTACAATGTTACATAGTAAGTTGAGAGAGTAAAAGCTGACATTAACTCATAAAGACAGTAAATGATATAAGAAAACATCCAAGTAATGTACAATATGTATTTACAAAAGAATATATAATAGAACTTGTAATATGTGGCCATTTCCTTCTGCCTACATTTCTCTTCAGTGTTTCACAGGTCTTTGCAGATAGAAATCTCTGGCTGGTGGAATGCAGCCAGTATTATTAATACAAGATAAGACCAGGCCTTCCTTATTTTCATCAATGTGAGCCATGCGCCCTTTAACCCCAGGCTATAAAAAGGAGTAGTTACTGAGCAAGTTACCCTGGATAAACTCTACCTATATCAAGAGAGTCACACTGAAACAAGAGATAGCAGGTTTGGGTCACATTCACCTACACAGAGGACCATTTTGTAGAAACTAGAATGCTGTCCAGGCACTCCTGGGGGCAAAAGTCATACTAGGCAGGAAGGGAAAGTAAGAAAGTGAATCTTAGGTGAGACAAAGAGTTTTGCATGTATTATGCTCCACTGCATACACCTCAGTGGAATATAATTTTAGACCCAGGAAACAAAGTTGCTGTCAAAATCCTGGGCAATTTCTACTGCCTTAAAACCCAAGATAGCTTTCCATATGCTGGGAACATAGGTTCACGCTGCGATTGCCACTGCACTGCCTGAATTTATTAACAGAAGTGGACGAGAGTGATGTGACAAGCATCACAGAGATATCCCTGTGAACACAAATATAGTGGCCATGGCAGGTGGCCCTGACCAGTTGCCCTTTCTTATCAAGGGTTCAAAGGATGTTCCAATTATAATATAACATGCCACCTCTGTGAGTGATCAGAATCAAGCTAAAAATAAAACTTCCTCGTCTTCAGTTTTCACATATATTTGCAATTGGAAAATGTATAGCAATTCTTATAGTAAGAAAAATGTTGCTCATGGTTCTCAACAGAAGGTTCTATTTATTCTCAAAATTATTACATAATGGGACATCTGAGTACCCCAATGCCCAAAGAATTTGAAATTTGAATTTTTAGGGTTTTAAATTTATGGTAGGAATTTCTTTATTGAAATAGCTAAGGATGAGTCAAGGCCTTCAAAGGCAATGTTAAAATAATTAAGAGAACTTCACTGGACAGACTGTCTTCTTCCCCATGCTGTGAGCTTACTCATTTATGCAGAATTGAAAAATCAGTACAAATCGACAGAGGCTCCTCAGTGTAGGTTAAAAAGCAAATGAGGATACCACCGAGCACAGAGAAAGTGGCATGTGAACAGTGATGGAAAATCTGAGATACCAAATACTAACAGTAAGTTCAAGAACCTGCAGAGAGCCATCCATCTCTGTGGATTGCAGAAGCATGTGGGAGTGTAACATGACTCATGCCCAGGCTGCATTTTTCTTCTAAGATCTACTTGCAAGTCATTTCTTCTTTTTAATTTTTAACATCAAGATTTGAAGAAATACATTCAGTTCACTTGCAAATAATAAGCAATGACTCTTACTGACTTAATGAACCTCCCCCTGCTAATAACCTGTTTCCCATTTGTTTCATGGCACCTAGGAGGTTACGTGAAACCTAAGCTCCAGCCCTGATTTCACAGATATCAGGCAGGCCATGAAATGGGTTCTGTGTTTCAAATAACTTTTTTCTTTCATTTTCCTGAATTAGCAGTTATTTCAAATGTTAATGCCTTCCTTCGATTTACCATCACAAGAGAACATGCAATGTTTAGACCAATCTTAGTGCTACTTTATGACAGTAAAGTAGAAATTAAAGGAGGTGGGGGAAATGGGTGGTGGAGCCTGTAAATGGAGAGGTCAGGACACAGGTGGGGGTCACTTCTGCAAGTAAAGGTGCAATCTTTCCAACAGGATCGGCATTTCCTGATGAATCATGACTTTTGGAAAGTTCTAATTAATCACAAATCACATACACATCGGCCATTCCTGATAAAAATATTCATGCATAGTTATGACCTGATCAAGGCAACATGGAAAAATAAGATAAAAATAAGGGGTAGAAAGGGGTGGTCATCCACACTTAAAAATTTCAACCAAGTCATCAAGCTTCTCTCCACCTATATGGTCACTCCTTCTGAACACTCTATGATGGAAATATTTTCCTATGATGACAAGTCCCTGCTATGTATAGCAGGCACATTTGACTCTAGAAGTTCTTCAGCCAAAATGCTGCATGTGCTGTCTGGCCTGGACTTTTTGTGCCGCAATATGCCTCCTTCTGAGCCGAAAAGACACAACCAATCACTAGCTCAAAATCAGTGAAATATACAAGTCAGAAATGATTGCACCTTTTTATCAGCTGTGGTTTGATCTTCAACTAGAGAAGCCGCTGGATCATTTCCCCAGAGAGAAAGTGACACTGAGTCCTCCTGTAAGGTGTTAGGTTTACCCTGACAGCGAGCCAGAACCCATTTGTCTAAGCTATCCCTAAAAGTGTTGCTTTTTGTCAAGAAAAATAAATCCAAATAAAGTAAATGAAAGCTCCTTTTAGTAAGAGCAAGCTGTCTTCTGATTAATAATATAGTTTTTTAAAATCACAGTATTACTTTCTTCCTAATATTTAACATTACTTAATGCGGTTTCTTGCTGTATTTAATAGTAGCATGCTGTTGGATCTACTATTATCTCAGAGCCCAATGAGCAAACCTTTGGCTGGCAGAGTAGACACAACTCATTTCATATTCTGAAAGCAAAGAAAACTTCATACACAAGAGAGGCGTATCAGATGGATGTGCCATTACAAGACATACTGATCAAGTGCTACTACAAGCAAACAGAGGGACAGTTACAAGTCTTGCAAATCATACATCCAGTCAACATCATAATGCAATGCACAAGAAGCCAGCAAAAACTGAATCTATGAGAGGGTTTGCCGAAATACTGTGGAAAAGCAATCACTGTAACTGTACAAAACTTGCTCTCGACATAACATAACATAAAGGCACCATTGATATCTTTCTCGTTTTGAAATACTGTAAAAAATTGCTACATATGGCACATAACACATTTTTACATACGTATATTTAATTTATAAAAGTTTTTTTCCTGTTTTCTATTTGCAGAACTGCTAAAATAAAATAAATTGTTTAATTTAAGGTGGAATACTTTATTATATAAAATAAAGTTTTACAGGTGAATCTATGTGTTTATTTAGGTTTTATACAGCAATAGGGTCTTGGTTAGCAATTACACTAGACAGCCTGGCCTGGATTTCTTCCTGTGTCGAGAAGCGGCCTGCTGGGTTAGTCCTGCTGTCAGCCAGGCGGAAGGCAGGTGTTGCCTCAAGACTGGCTGCCAGGGGGTTCTGTATGCCCAGGAAAGGTGTGTCTTCACCTACTCTTTCATCTTCTGTTTCACTCTCTGAGTTACTGCTCTGGGAGCTTGTGTTGCTGTCCACTTCCAATCTGCTAGCAATGTGGCCATTGGGCTTGGTTCTTTTGGCCCGCCGGCTATTGGCGAGTTTCTTAACAGGCTCTTGGACTGGCTCGTACTCCTGGGTCGTTTCATACTCCTCATCCTCCACTATCCTCAAGGGGCTAGGGGGGAGGCTGTTACTGTCATGCACGGGGTTGTGGTGGAAGGAGCTGAACTGGTGAGGGTGATGGTCAAACTTCTTCTCCCGCAGCCTCGGTGGTGTCACAAGAAGTAGAGGTCTCTCTTCTTCCACGAAGGGGCTGACCGCCATGGAAGGCATGGACACCGTCATGCTGGACACGGGTGGAGACATTTCCGAAGGGGGTGATTTGGGGGAGCTTGGCGTGTGGAAATCTACAGGTGACATACGAGCCGGGGTGGTCATGGCTGACACATACCTGTGTGAGCACAGAATACCCTGCATAAGTGTGGTGGAATAAGAGGTACATAGCAGGGAAGGTAAGGGGACAGAGTCATGATATTACATCATCAGAGAACAGAGAATTTCTATTCATTGTAGACTGCCCAATTATTTATGCTAGGAAATTCCACACCCTTGGAATTGAAAATTATGTAGCCAAGAGTTTCCTCACAGAAGTGCATGCAAAGATCAGCTAAATTGCCTAGCTCATCAAAGCCTTTGGGATTTCCAATCTCATCACAATTATAAATAAAGGCATATGAGCCAAGACAAGAAGGCATTAGGTCCTAGAAACCTCTCAGCTTATATAAGGACCAAGGCTCAGGGATTCGGAAGGGAAAGAAGTATTACTTAAATACTATACCTTCCTAAAGGCCAAGGGGTCTTAGAGAATGAAGCCCAAATGGGGAATGGAAGAAGATCTAAGATGAGTTGCTGATAGCTGGATCTGCATGCATTTGGATCTGTGTGCCTTGTTTCTCCTTAGCTCAGCTATAAGGTTATGTCTTATAAAAAAAAAAAGAGCATAGTAACTTAGATTGATTCCTGACAACAGTGTCATACATTTGTGTGCTTTTCATTTTTTCCATGAAATGCAACTAGTTAACATTCAAGTTGGAACTATCCATCCCAGTGTTCAACACAGTCAAAGGTAAGCCTGACAGAACCTAATCTTGGCTTCACAGTTACCCCGATGGAGGCTATGTCCAGTCTTTGGTCTATCTCTCTTCCAAACTCACAGCTATATCAGTATTTGGTTAATGTCTATCAGGATGCCCCAAGGATTGGCTGTACCAGGTTACCTTCTGTCATGTTATATCTGATACTGCTGAGTGATTCTTGCCATCAGGGCACCGAGCACACTGGTTTCACCATACCATACTTTCTTCCCCCAGTATAAGAAGGCCTAACTTTTGGCACTGAGGAAGACATAGCTTATTCAGAGTCACATTTCTCAGCTTTTGATAAAATGTTACCAATGCACAGCATTAAATGACTCTTTTCTTCACACTGGCATTCACAGAGTTTAATTTGGCATGACCTGAGATGACACTGAATGCCATCATCTGAACTCTCGCTAACAGGAACAGAAAACCTATGAACCTCCCTGCTTTTCCATGATTCGCAGTAATACAGATGTGAGAGTTAGCTGTCTCTAAACTGGGAACGTGCCTGAGAAACTGAAATATACAGGCTTTGAGTCTTCAGACTTTTGGTTTTGAGGGTACTTAAATTAAGCTCCCAGGAATGCTAATTCAAATTCAACCACCGTATAAAAGTGATTCATCTTTTCTCTCCATAATCTCTAGGTTTAGGAACATTTTGTAGTCCTAGATACTGTCTGGAAGCCCAGCACAGCAGGGAAATGTAAACATTTAAGGATAAATATCACTTGTAGTGATGAAGAAAGATTTCATCTCTAACTTCCTTTTCATGTTTCAAAAAAAGATTGGAATGGAATTGATATAATTCTTTAATACATAAATATGGATTTAAGACCAAAGTTTTAAAACCATTTAAACCCTGCCTACTTTTCCATTGATTGGTTGCAGGGAAACATCTGATTTCATAAATTTCATAATGTTCTAAGATATCATTTTGGGGGAAAGGCCCTTGAAGAAGTAAGCAACAGGCCTGTAAGCCCAGAATGTGTCATTTTTTATTGTAAGTACTTCCCAGTCCATGAGTGAAAAGAGTCCATCAAAGTCATCTTAGTCTATGTGTGTAACTGCCACATAAATATGGATTTGACATTAATGTAAACCTTTTAGTTAATGGTCAAAGATTAGACTGAGATGACAATCAAATAAAGGAAAAATAAATAAAATACAATTCAGCGGACCTGCAAACAAACAGGTAATAGCTTACCTCTGATTTCATAAATTCCATAACGTTCTAAAATATCATTTTGGGGAAAAGGCCCTTGAAGAAGTAATCAACAGGCCTGCAAGCCCAGAATGTGTTATTTTTTACTGGAAGTACTTCCCATCCCACGAGTGGAAAGACTCTATCAATGTCATCTCCGCCTGTGCAACTACCATGTAAGTAGGGATTTGACATTATGTAAACCTTGTAGTAAATGGTCAAAGATTAGACTGAGATGACAATAAAATAAAGTAAAACTCAGTGGACTTGCAAACAAATAGGAACAGGTAATAGCTTACTGATGGGCTAGAAATGCTGGTCATCTTCCAGCTCAGGTGAAAATGGAGAAAGAGAATCTATGAATTCAATGATTACTATTTAATGTCTCTTTTGTTTACTTTCCTCCATTCTTTATTTTACCTTTGCTGTAACTCCCCCAACCCAACCCAATCTCCCCAAAGGAAAGCCAAAACATTTTGGAATAAAGGGCCATCTCGAAGGCAGTATCTGCTTTGAAAACCACCTGTGAAGACTGCCAGACGCAGCATCCAAGAGATTTATTTATTCATCCTTCTTGGAATTTCATAAAAGGGATACTATAGGGTGGAAGGCAAGCAGTTGCCCCACTCCATGACATTCAGCAATGACATAGCCCTTGATTTGACTTAATTGAGGCTGGAAGGTAAGACAGGGTTAGCAGATAAGAACACAAGGCCAGCTCGACCACCGAATCAAAGTTTGGATAACTGGCAAATTGGAATTATAGAAGGGTCCTTATCAAGCATTGATGCCATCTCTCTAATGTTACAACTGAGGACACTGAGACCTCGAGTGGGTCTGAGCCCACGGCCAGAGCTGGAAACTCCGTATGCTGCACCTTCTGCATCAAAGCATCCCAGCTCTTTAAGAGTCTGTTGCCTGTCAGTCACTGGGACGACGAGAGAAGCTCAGAAGAAATAAGTTCCATCAAACAAAGAGATGACTTCATCAACTAGGAGCACTCCTAGAACAGGTAACTGCTGCCCCTTATTCTGATTAGAGTAGATTTCCTGAGGTGAGACCGCAGGTGCTCACGGGGATTCTCTGACTGAGTTTCTCCTCTGCAGTAGCTTTGCCCTTCGGTTTTACCTTTCACTATGAGGAGAGTCTCGGTAGGAATCAGGGGTTTCTCTGGCATGCCTGAGGAAGCTGTTACATTCACGAGGGCCTCCTATGCCATTAAGACGTCCTCTTGGGCCCCCAGTTGGGCTGCTGTGCCTACTATTTTCTACGGATGACATCATGATTACAGAGTGGCTTTCCGAAAGGATGCTTTCAGTGTGTCCGTTGCTCCAGCTGCAGAGGAAATGAGAGAGGCAATGAGATAGTTCATTCAAAAATTATATGCGAAAATGGAAATGAAAGGAATAGATTCTGACAAATGTTTCAAACTACTGATGCATCAGGAGATCACTGCAACATCATTTGTTTCCAAACAGAATCGCCACAAACATAATTTGCTATAGAGAGGATCTTGATTCAGTTTGGCTTTGTAAGGATACAGTATAGTCACTTGTTCACTCATTCAATAAATAATTATCGAATACCACTCCATACAGTATAATTATAGTCTCTCTGTTCTTGGAGTGGTTTAAAGAAACACTTTGTTGTATGAGCTACATTTGGAGGTCTAGCATTGCTCTTGGTAGAGTGAGTGCATTCGGATGGCGATCACCAAGGCATTCGAGAATTTAGGGTTCTGCTATTTAACTGATTCTCATGTGCATTTCCCAGGGCAATCCAATTGTTGAAAGAAGTTGACTTCTAAGTATTATGCAGAGCCAAAGACAGACTTGTCACAGGGTCGCAGTAGCAGGGCATGAGTAAAGACAATCTCAGGTACGAGAAACAAAGGCCCTGTGGAGAAGGCATAATTATCTCTTTTTGGTAATGAAAAAATTGAGGTTCAAATTTATGCAGGAATTTAGGGCAAAGCCAGCTGATTTTCAAAATCTGTTGCTGCCAAAGACCACCCATTTCATGGCCCCTTTTCTCAGGCTGTAGTATCAAAAGGCAATGTGCAACAATTCATTCCGAGAGAAGTGCCATGGAATGTTCAGATTCTCATACCTGTGGCTAGGAGTCTGGGTGACAGTAGTGGAGTGATGGGCTGTGGAAGTATAGTGACTGGTGGAAAAGGATGTCTCTGCTTCCCTCTCAACAATCTGCTCACTAGAGATGACGTTTTTAGATACGTATTGCTGAATAAACAAAAAGACACAACTTGAAGATTCATATCAATCAAAGTACTAATATTGTCATGTAAATAAAAATACGAACACTGTAAAACACACAAATCTAGGCTTGTACACATGCTTTGTAATAAATTCCATTTCCCCAATGGCCAGATGGAAAAGCCTGTCCTGGACTACTGTGGCTTTTACATTAGAGGAATAGTTAATTAAAAACTCTATGGATATGCATCCAAAGTAGGGCTCACCATCCCAACTACATTTTATCAGCAAAAGGCCTATTTCTTCTAATTTATTTTGAATTAAATAACATGACTAGAATTCCATACAAACATTCATCCAATATTCATTTGTTTCATGGTTATTGCAAGTCGAAGATAGCTAAATGCTAGTTGACTGAAACAGAAGCAGAGAGATGGCTTGTATAATTTCAAATTTCAAAGCTCTAGAAAAAATAATTTTAAACCTCTATATTTTGGACTTACCTTTCTCTTTCCATTTCCTAGTGCCCACGTTGCCCTACTAATGTCATTGAAATGTTTAACTTATTATCAGTGGTAGGGCTAGTAAGACTACTGATAAATTTCAGGGACTTTACAATTGTCAAGTCACACATCTTGACAAAGCACATAATATATGGGGGACATTTCTATTTAGTGCAGGTCGATTCTATTATCTTTTCTTTCTTTCTTTTTTGTTTTTTGAGATGGAATCTTGCTCTTTTGCCCAGGCTGGAGAGTGCTGGTGCAATCTTGGCTCATTGCAGATTCTGCCTCCTGGGTTCAAGCAATTCTCCTGCCTTAGCCTCTGGAGTAGCTGGGGTTATAGGCACATGCCACTATACTCAGCCAACTTTTGTATTTTTAGCAGAGATGAGGTTTCATCATGTTGGCCAGGCTGGTCTTAAATTCCTGACCTCAGTTGATTTTCTTACTTCTGCCTCCCAAAGTGCTGGGATTACAGGTATGAGCCACCACACCTAGCCAGATGCTACTTTATTTTCATCAGCAAACCACAGTAGTTTTTCCTGTTTCTATTAGGGAGGGAGACCTATTTTGAAGTTGTTTTAAATGCTGTTAGTATTTATACCAAATTGAGTTAAATAATAAGAAAACCAGTAGAAAAGAATACTCTTTTATGAAATAAGGCGCTTTATAGTCTGATGGTCTGTGGGCTCTAAATATATTCATGAGGATCCAAAAAAATACAACTTGAATTATGCTTGCAACTATAGCTGGTTCTCACAGTGGAAAGGCTATTCCATGTGGATCTTCCTGGGAAGTACAGCTAACCTGATTTAAGGAAAGGATTCCCAGTGACCTACTTCTAGTCCCTGCACCATTTCACTATTGCCTCTTGGGAGGCAATGTAAGCTCAGTGAATCTAATGAAAATAATACTTAACAATTATTGAACACTCACGAAATGCCACTAGGCTAAGTGCTTTATGCAAATTACCTTACTTAAAACTCAAGAACAGTCTCTGAAGTGGGCATTGTTTTTAAGTCTGTTTTTATAATGAAGAAATAAGGTTGAGAAAGGTTAAAGCCCAAAGATGCACCACATGAGCAGTAAATGTAATCCAGGCAGTATGGTGACATGTATGGGGACAGATTACAGTTCCTTTTGTAGTGAATATAGTTGTCAAATGTGCAGAACATTGTGATAAGTACTGTTAGAGGGTGGAAAAGCAACAGAGTATGTTGACCTATAAGCACCTTGCTCCAACAAAGACTCGAAGGTCTTTGCTACAAGACTTGCTGATAGGTTAGTAACCACCAACTCTGTAGTTGGGTCTGCGATATATCTGTTCCACTCAAAATATACTTTTTTTCTATAGGATAGAAAATGGTACTTCAATCGAATCTTCAAGCTTTTTGTATTATGTAAAAACCATACATCATAGCAGTAATTTGTAAACAGAAGGATTATGCTGGAATAGAAGGAGAGCAATAGTCCAAAAGCCAGGAGATAGTGCAGCTCTGACCCTTATCTGTAAAAAAGAGAGATTTGAAAGACAGTATCTTCAAACTCTCCAGAATCTAAGATTCTATGATCTAGTTGTATTAAAAAAAAAAAAGAAAACTGAATGCTGAGTGTTTGGTACAGTATAAACAAAATATTTTAATGATTATGGATGCATTTTATCTGGAGGGCTTGATGTCACTTAGAAAGGGCCAGTGAAGAAGCTGGCATGACACGCTTCTCCTTTTGCTACTGAGAAGCTTGTTTGATAAGTAACTTGACCTTTCCACACCCTAAAGGAAATCAGAATCCTTTGGAAATCATAATCAGTAAGTCATCAGGCACTGTGACGTGCCCCTAAGAAAATAACTCTAAAACTCTTTGCTCGGTTATCTGTACTAATCAATTACAAACTGGAGTAGCCTATATTTCTAAGAGATAGATAATTCTTTTTGATTATTGTACTATTAATTTTGTTTTCTCCCCTTCTCTCTCCACATAAGCCCCAGCTACAGCCTCCTTGCAGAACAAGCTCAACACTATTATTCCAACCCCTTAATGAACACTTTATAAGAGGAAATGTGCTGATTTTACAGTAACCAAATCCACTTTAAAAAATGTTCCCATTATTTTCTCCTGGCAAAAACTTGGATTCCTGGAAGCCGTGGTGATTAATGGGAGCAGCTAAAAGCTTAAGAGCTTTTGAAAATAAACTTCAAGGTGTCTGAACAGAGGAGAGAGGCTCAGTTTTTTCCACTGGCCAGAATCAACGTACATTCACCAGCTGGACGTTCTCGGGGGGTGGGTTGGGATGGTGAGGTCCATTGGCAATGTTCATCATGTTGTTTCGTTCAGACCGAAGGCTCTGCCGAAGACGGTCATGAAGCTTTTTTCGCTGTTTCCTGGACATAAAAAAGGGAGCATTTACTTTTTTGGATTATGTACATTTCATAGTGGAGCCAAATCTTTATTCTACCAACACCTATGAGTAATTCAAGGCAATAGATTGGTGATGAGGAAGAGGGAAGGGAGTGTGTCCACTCTATCCCAGAATATCCCAGTGAAATCACACATCCTTACTAAATAGATTTTAAAAGCCATATGGGATTCTTATGGAAATTTAGTGATTTTACTGAGAGACAAAAAAAAAAAAAAAAAAGAGGATACACAAATAAGTTGATAATTGACTAAAATCCCAATGTTCCTAATCAATCCATCTTTGCCTAAGTCTTACAAATGAACACTTATTTCTTAGATAATATTGGCGCTGGGCTGGGCATGGTGGCTCATGCCTGTAAGCCTAGCACTTTGGGAGGCAGAGGCAGAAGAATCACTTGATTCCAAGAGTTTGAGACTAGCCTGCGCAACATGGAGAAACCCAGTCTCTACAAAAATTACAAAAATTAGCTGGGCTGGTGGAATGCACCTGTGGTTCCAGCTACTCGGGAGGCTGATGCATGAGCATCACTTGAACCTGGGAGGTGGAGGTGGAGTTGAGACTGTGTCACTGCATTCTAGCCTGGGTGACAGAGCCTGAATATATCTAAAAAAAAATTGTGCTATAGAATTTATAAGACTGACTTCATTTATAGTTTTTCCTGGGGTCTCTTAAGGAAACGAACTGAGTTTTGAATATACACAGTTAGCATGTTTGTGATGTATCCCATGTATGTGAGTAAGAATGTAGACATATTGTGCCAATGGATTTTGGCACAACTGTAACCTGATCCTACTCTGGTAACGCTTTTTGTGTTATTACGCGGTGAATACTGAGATGGAATCTGATGAGACTCACCAGGTCGATTCCATGAAGGTTTATCTCTATAACTTAATTCTGGCAATACACCACATCATGGGATATTGAGAAAGTACAATCCATGCTCTGGATTTTGTGGTAAAAGCATATTATTTTTCTTCCTTAACACAACATTCAGATTATGAAAATATTCCCATGGATGATTTGGCAAGGGAATATTCAGAAGCAGTGTTCTTTCAAAAAACCTTGTTAATTTAACATTATATGAGACTTGAAATGTAAGTTATATGTAGGAGAGAAAAGTGAAGAGAACTCATGTCACATAGTAATTGAATTTGTTAACATGGGCCCAACTTAAAGGCCAAATATAGGGAACCCAAATCTATTCTAATGTTTTCTCTTTTATTTTTTCAAAGAAAGTTTTGCTTGATTTTCCTCCCCTGAGATTCATTTTGTACACCTTACACTGTGAGAGCATTTATACTGGCAACCTAATTAGATAGAATTGAAAAGTAATCACTATAGTTCAGAAAACTGCATTTCAAACACCATGAAGGGTTTCCTTTATCAGGTAAATTTTAGTGTAAATTGGGCTTGTTCTCAGTAGTCCTTTGAACTAAAGGTACTACTGTACCCCTAATGCCTTCAGTCTCTAATGCATAAAAGTTTTTCTTGGTGCAAATTAGTTTCTTTAGGGGAGAAATTGAATATACTAAGCCCTAAAATGAACTTTTGGTTCCTTCCCTCTCCTTTTAGAACAAGGCACCTTCACTCCACCTCACCCATACACATGCCTTCCCCACAAGCCTGTCCCTCCAGCCCTTTATTCACTCACTCAGGGACTGTGGACATTTATCAGAAATCTTTAAAACACTTTCATATGAATAGGCAAAAAGCTTTCTAGTTCTATATTTAGGAGATATCCTCAAAATGGATTATTTAGAGGAAGTCATCTTCCCCCACCCACTTTTTTCTTTATCCCCAAGACTAAGCTGTGGAGCTCAGATTCTGCAAAGCACTGGCCATCGAAGTTGTCTCTGCATTCAGGAGAGAGAAAGGCATGGAGGAGGAAGGTTTACTTGGTTTTGCAGTAGGCCACCACACACATGATGCCGACCACAAGGAGGGCGATGCAGATGCCGGTTATGGTCAGCACTCTCTTCTGGTAGAGCTCCTCCGCCTCTGGAAAGGGATGAGAGCAGATGTCATGACAGGCCATTTCCACTTGCCAGGACTGACTACAGATGAACAGTGGGCATGCTGCATGACATTGTCCATGTTCACAAGAACATTAAATACATGACAATTCTTCATGTTGACACACATAGCTAAGGTACAACATGCTCTGCACTTATGCTTTGAACATCAATATCAAAGCCCACTGGGGCCATTTACTATACAAATATTGTACTACAATTATCTCTAATTATAAGCTATAAATATATGTAGTTGATAGTAAATTGGAAATCATAAACATTAATTATAAAATAACTATTGGTTAAAATGCTGTAGTTTTTATTTTATTTTTGTAAAGTCTCTTGCAAAATAAAATATAAAAAGCTCTTGCAAAGACAACAGGAGTCAACACCAATTAAAGGAGCTGGGATTGGCATCACTGGGGCCCTCCTTCCTTGTTCCTCCCTTCTTTATCCCCCAGCCCCTGGCCTTTTTGTATTTCCCAGCTACTTTATATCATCACTTTATATCCAGTGGTCTTTACAAAGAGTCATTCTAACTTAAATGTATTAAATTCAAAGACATTTGCAAAATGAACTTGGCTTGTAGTTAACTAGTAAATTGAGTCAGGCTCTCTGCGATTTAACAGTAAAATGTGAACAAAGAAGCAATACAATATGAAGTAGCAGGCCACTGTATCAAAGAAAATCCCAAATGGACAGTCAGGGGCCCAAATGGAGACTTGTCCTTTGGAAGCCAACTCTAATTACTCCACCAATTGTACTGAGGAACAAGTTTATTTGTCCAAAGAGGTCGCCAGTACAAATGATGTGTGGTTTGGAATAGAGAGCGCAGTCCTACGTTGGCCAACTTGGCACATGAGCTAATGTAGGTTATACTCAGGAAGTGTGATGCTTAGAACTTTGAACTGAAGGTGTTACTGCACCCCAAATGCAATCATTCACTAATTCATGGAAGTTTTTCTATTTGCTAAATTAGTTTCTTTGGGGGATAAGTTGATTATACTAAGGTAGGTCAGGTTCTTAACAAGATTTGCTGATTTAATAGGGACCCTGATCCCTTAGGACCTGAGCTTTCAGGGAGTCTAATTACATTTATTGGAAAATCTTCACACATTCACTCAGAAAGAGAACTCAACTGGTATGAAATAAGCAGTGTAAGCTATTTACTTGCCGTTATGATCAATAAATTGGTCAAGAACTGGGAAATACTGTACAAACAGAGCTGACTTATCTGGATATCAACAAGGGACCCTTGAGGCATATTTCTGTATTGTATCAGTGGTGGCAAAGTATACCCGTTTCTCTTTTGAGAGAGAGCAGCTTGCAGGAAGTTTTCTTGAAATGAAAAAGTGAATTTTAATTTCTAGGATACAGTGGACCTTATCATGAAACAAAACATTTCCTACAAGCCGAGTCCATGATAATCAAATTCCAGTGAACAGGTCAAGAACGTTGTCAAATCAAATTAATATAGCACTGATTGATTATTAACAGGAGGAGGAGAAGAGAAATCAGTAGGTAAAGGACTAGAATGCTGCATAGATTACACAAAAACAAATCAAAAGGGCTGGAGGTGGGTAGGAAAAACAAACTGAGAGGACAGACAGACTGACAGAATGACAGAGAGACCAAGGAAGGGAAAACAAGGTTAAAAGTTAAGGAGCCATCTGAAGTCCCTGGCACAGCATGCCTGATACTAAGGGAGGAAAAATAAATAAATAAAAGAAAACCAGAGAGAGGCAATGCTTGGGTGGGAAGAAAAGGTGGATGCAAAGTTGGAAGGGTCATTCCATACAGCATAACTCCTAATCTAAGCTAGCAATCATGTGGAAGCCACAGTTAGAAAGCGAAGCGGCTGGTGCATTGCGATGAAATAATGCACCAGGAGATATTGAGTTGGTGTCACGAATTTTTTTGTGTGTGCAGCAAAAGTCAGATGAGGACATGGAATGTGAGTGCTTACATGTTAATTGCATGTATCTGCTGCCTCCCCTCCCCTATAGCCACAGAACAGGGAATTAATTTCTGTGAGGTGTTATCTGGTTCCTGCTGCTGCTGTAGCCTCCCTTCTTGATATCCTGATCAGGTTTTAGAATACATGTCTAAGAAGCAGAGCTGTCACCTCATTGTTCCCTCACCCTGGGACCCAGGATGCAGAGCACAACTCCTTGGCTGTGATGAGTTGGTGAAAAAATAGGAGTGTAGCTATTATTGCCAAGAGATGAAGGCCCTGACTGACTGTCCTCTTTTCTTTACCCTATTGTTTTCTTCTTTGAAGATGGCAAGGCTGTGGCCATTCTTTTCTACTGACATTTTAACATCCTATCTTTAGAAAGAAGCTGAGAAAATGCTTCTGCAAACTTAAAAAATGGAGATATGGACAAGGGCTAAAAGAAAAAAGGCATCATGCATACTCTCAGGGATTCTTTGGACAAATTGTCTTTTGGTTGCTGTTAATTACAGAAGAATAGATTGAGCTGCGTTTGGAAGCATATGGTGTGATGATGATGATGGGTGCATTCTCTCTACGCTGTGTAGGCAGACACATGTTTTCCAGTAAAATGATCATTTCATGGAAATAAAGAGGTAGCTCAGTCAAGGCCAAAGGGTAATGTAACAGCACTAAAATGAGCTGATTCAGGCCAATGCCCATAGAATACAGATGTGGGATTAAATCCTGTGTTCACATCAGCATTGGCCAGATACACTACAACTCTCACCTACGTTTCTATTTGAATTTTTCACAGTTTTGCTCAATCGGGTGATCCTACACTATGAATGTGGTCAAGGAAAAATACTTGGTGAAAAATAATATAAACGATGGATTCTTTAACCTCTTTTTTTACCATATTAATTATTTTCTTATGTGTCAAGTCAATTGGAGAAGAGCAAATTAAAGACAGACAGGGCTAAAAGCAAGAGTCCCTTACTCCAATTGGTGGGTCTGTCTCTCAATGAGCAGAAACGCCCCAGAGTCTTCATGGTTTGGCTGGACTAACCTGTTACCAGATCATGGACATATTTCAGTCTGATCTGGCCTGGCCAAGACACAGAGCCCTTACCTTTCTCTGTTGTACTTGACCATTAAGGTCTGATTTTCCTGAAGGAGGTGATGAACTGGTTTAGTACACTGGCCAACCTGGAATTATGAACCTCTGGAAACTGTACCTTTGAGAAGTGTAGGGTTAGCAGCACCGTGTGTCCTTCCTAACCCATAGAAGATCTTACTGAGGGGGAAGTTATATATCTGAACTATCCTTCACTTCATTGTTGGGGAAAGAAACAATAAATTCTATAGTCAGACCCTCCAGCTATAAAATGAGAAATATGCTGTTAAGGATAGAAGGGTATGGGTAATGGCAGAATTTTTTCCCTCCCTGCAGGGTAGGCCAATGATCTGTTTCAGAAGTGGGACAATTTTTTTCCCTGAGGGAAGAAACAATAGATAGCTCTCCTCAGTAGACAACATGCTCCTTATAACAGAGGTGCTCGCTCCCCCTTGTGTTTCTCCCTCTTGGGAGACATTCTGTGATGCACAAAGGCCCATTCACATGCATTTGGGGGCTTCTCAACAAATTGATAGTTTACTCCTGAATTTTTTTTTTAAGGAAGAAATGGGCAATCCACTGGGCAATCCCTGTAGCTTAGAGCTTGTAACTGCCTCATTTCCCACAAAATGTGGAAACTACATTATGTGCAGACTGCCATGTAATCATCCAAAAGGCGGCAGCAGCTGTAGCATGCCCCTGCTGCATGATGTCCCTGAAGCCAGCTGGATGGGGACCAGATATTCTGTGAATCAGGACATTGTGTTGCTGACCCAACCAAGATCCAGGACTGCATGCAGCAGTGAGAAAGACAGGCTGGCCTGCCCCTGTGGAGTCACTGGGAAGGTTGCACAGCTCCTTGCTCCCCAGAGACTGGTCTTCAATCCCAACTATGAGGGATGAAGGCCTTTGGAAGGAGTGTGTCCAAATTTTGCATATTCATATATTTTTCTTTTACATTCACAGTGTGAAATTTTCTATTTGATTACTTGTCTGGATAATCTTCATGACTCAAATTTAATTCCATTACCACTGGAATCTCCACCTGAAATAGCACAAGCCTGCTTTCTTTCTGTCTTCTATTTCCTTCTTATAAGATAATGAAGTTGACTAGGGTGGTGCTTGAGTATCTCCAGAAAATCTGAGTAATTCAAGTCTGTGCATTTAATATGGTGGTGTAATTTTAAGAACTTTCTATATACATTACATTGTCTATATTAAATAGATAAGTTTTACATTGCATGCCAAAATCCTACTAGGCTAAGAAGCCGTGTGTTTTTGAAGCAGATGGACTTAAAACATCTTTTATTCTCATGACGCTGGGTAGATTCCCCCTGCATCCTTTATGTACTACTACATAAAAGATAGGACTTATGTGCTACTACATAAAGGATAGGACTACTATCCAGCTTTTAAATAACAGCATAGCCAGATCCAATCAGTGGGTTAAGCAGCATGGGATATATGTGAATTTGCAGCAGTTTTACACTCTAAGTGAAGTATGCTTGGGAATCTAAACCCTGCTGCACTCAGTAACATTTCAGTAATCTAATCATAGATTGAACGCAGAGAAATCATTGTTATAGCTGTATGATCCCTTCTAAAGAAAAAGGAAATTAGTTAGGAACTGAAAGGTAAGAGTAGGAAGGGAAAAGATTTCAGCTCATAGGCTCTAAATTCTGCAGGCTAAAAGGAATGATGATTGGTCCATACCCATAAATTCAATCCCAAGATGCTCTGCCAATGCAGAAAGTTGACAAAAAAAAAGAAAGAAAGGGACAAAGTTTCAGAAAAGAGCATTACACTGCACTCCAAAACACATTACACATGACTATTATGGCTCTCTGTGCGTGCACATTGAACCAGACAAATGGTGAGTGGTTAAGAAGCAGTGCTCAGGTATGCCTCTGTGAGTGCACATAGGGAACGTCTCTTTTTACGAGGTGTGCAAAATACCAGCACACTATACCTTTATTAACCCTTAAAAGACCTTACTGAGGGAGAAGTTATGTCGCTGAACTACCCCCTTTACTATTTCCTTGTTTGGGAATAGAAAGATTATTTTTAAAATCAGAAAAGACATTTGATACTATTGAATTCTTTTTTTAAAAGGCAGAAGCAAAGTTCCAAGGAGGTGAAATTCTTTTTTAACACCCATTGGCAGAGGCAGGAGCAGAAGCCAAGAGGATGGTAATTTGGTCTGAAAAATGTTATTAGGTTGGACTTGGATTTTTTCATTGTTTGTGGGTAGTTGGTCTCGAATACTTCTTGCTCGTTGGTTATGTATTTATTTTCTTAGCTGTATCTGTTTTACTTCTCCTAATCATCCACTTTCCTCATCACTTGTCTGTTTCATTCACAGAAAGTAACAAACACTTCTGCCTCAAAACCCCAAACAGTGGCTTAGGACACTGCAGACTCCTAGTTTTTCTCATATAAGTTCTGTGTGGCATTGGACAATTTGATGACTCACTTTTTAAAACTGTAAAAAAAGAAAAAATTAAGTGGGAAAGATTCAATTCCCAGGTCTTTCATCTTAACTTCTTATTCCTTTAAATAACAGAGAGCCAGCTAGATCACCTCTCCAGAATGCTGGACTCCCATGCACACAGCCACTCTGAGGACCTGCAGGGCTGCCCAGAGAAGGGGACTCAAAGGAATGAGCCAACAGTAAGCAATCCTGGCAGCTGGGACTCCAGAGACTCCAGGATTTCAAGAACAGCAGAACCTGCAGAGACTCCAATGAGGAAGTGGGGGGAAATGAGGCCAAAATAAAAAATCTCCAGGGATGACACTTTTCATGATAATCAAATTTCATGATGTGGAAGGCTCTAGGACTTCCCTTCTCTCTCTCTCTCTCTCTCTCTCTCTCTCTCTCTCTCTCTCTCTCTCTCTCTTTCTCTCTCTCTCTCTGTGAATGTGCACGCACACATGCATGTATGTGTGGTCGGGAAGTAGGTAGAAAAGAGAGACAGCATATTAACTGAGATCTATATTTTCTTTCTTTGATCACTGCCTCTAGAGGTATGAGGGCTATCCAATGATATGGCAAGGAATCTCTTAATTTTGAAAAACTACACTGGAGGGGTGTTTCTCTTAAGAAAACTTGCATTTGGGCATGATAAAAGTACCTCATGTAGAGAGGGATAAAGCAGGAGATGAGTGTGCTGGAATCATCTTGGTTTCGGGTCCTGCTTCTGCTGTGGACCTGTTTAGTGCCTTTGGACATGGTAATTTTTCATTAACAAAATATTTTTTAAACAAACACATGCCTCATTGGGCGTCCCCGGGGGAGTAAAGGAGACACGAAATAGGTTGACTAACAGCAAAAGGGGTTAAGAACTTAGGTAGCAGACACATCAAGAGATGTACCTTGGGCCACTTACTGTATTCTCATTTACTCTTGGCCAATTTCATAGCCAGAAAAACTCTGTAAGCTCTGGGGATACTTGGAAACTTAAAAATTTGCTGCCCTTTAGGAAATGAAGTTTCCTAGATTTTTTAAGTGTGTGTATGTGTGTGTGCTCACACACACACACACACAACCATGTCAAAAAGTACACTGCATAACAAGGATAATGGGAAGCATTATATATAATAGTTTCCTCTGCCTTGGGTCCAGTATACAGAAGCAAATAACCTAAATTTTTCATAAATTAAAATCTAGGGGATGTAGGTAGGGTTAATTTGGCTGCACAATGTTCACAGCAAAATAATTTACTCAAATCCAAATCAATTTCTCTTCCCTCTAACACTCAATTGATCAAAAATTGGTCATTTTTCTCCCATTTCCTTTCTTCATCCAAACTTTGGAACATCAACGTGGAAACATTCATTTTCCAGGGAAGTTGATAATAAATTTCCTTACTCATTTCCATGAAGATGGGACCCAGCTTTTCTTTCTAGAAACCCCTCCCTCTCTTGCCTTTTCCTCCTACCAGTCAGTAATAATTTAAGGGTTAAAATCAAGCGATGTCTACAGAAATTCTTTCCAGAGAGTCAGGATTCCATGCCTACGTGAACACTGCTCGTGATCTATGTTAGTTGCATAGAAAGCTTGGTTAAGTCTTCAATAAAATTAGTAGCATGCCCATGCATACATTTTACTGCATTTACAGTTTTATAGGTAAGTCTGTCAGCCTAACTATAATTTCATTTCACAGGAAGTCATTCATATCAGGCAGCTCCAATTTCAAATAATTCAATGGGAAATTGGTACTTAAAACTGGAATCTCTTCTGGCCATAAGCCCTAGCAAGGAAACAAGCAGAGGAAACATGCATCAGTCATTCTAGACCCAGAGCAAACACTGCTCTAATTTATTTTTACTATTGGTAGTTACATTTCTTTCATTGTGAGTCAAAAAAAAAAAAAAAAAGCAGAATACACAACCACTTTTCATTTTATGAAGAGGTTATTACTTTCTATCTGTTCTACTTAATCTAATGTTGGCCTGAGCTCATTAAGAATCACATGCTTCCTATTGAACTTCTGCTTACCCACTACATTTTTCAAATTAAATTAATAATTCAAAAACACAAAGTTTACTGTCAACAATCTAGTTTCCTTTTCTGCATGTGATTTCCTGCTGTGCTCTGAGCAATATAAAAAATTAATTTAAATCTAAAAGTCTTCAGAAACTATTAAATGTTGACTCCCTAATCCTTTGTCTTAGGATTTTATAATTGCTGGAGGAAAACTGATTAACCCGTAGGTTAATTTAAATTTTCAATTGCATTAAGGAAAAGAACAATAGGAAAACTTTCTTTTGCAAAAATTATATATCCATACAATTGTGGTTTCTGTTAAAATCTGAAGACATTTAGGATTTTATTCTTTAACAACTTGGCCCTGTTTATGCAAATCATCTCAAAGACTTAAAATCTTAAAGTCTTGACTTTCTGTACCACTGAGATTTCTAAAGGAGTTCTGTCAGCGCTAATTCTAAACAGGACCAATTTAGTGTCTGTCTTTTAATTTTAGACTTACCTTAATAAAATGGAGATAGTTTTTTTTTCACATATGCCAATCCGCAGTGTCACTGGGCCCTTTGAAATGTTAACAGGAGACTTTCTCCTTAGTTCCAACTTCCATGTGCACATAAGCACACTCACAAAACACACACACAGTGAAATCTCACTAACACTCGGTTGGAATTTATGGCAATTTTGTCACAGGTGAAATGTTCCTTTATTCTACTGTTAGAAGATACACATTTGATAAATAAGAATAATTTCAACAGGTTTTTAAAACATTAAGAAATCCATGCAAATGATGGATGCACTAGTAACCTGTGACTCAAAACTAGTTTTAAGGATATCTGCTAAATTTACTCAGTGTGAAAATGTTCCTAAAAGTTGCAAAATTAGAATCTTTTAGAATATTCTAAATTTGAGCTATTCTCTAATTAGGTCCTATTATACGTTAGTTTATAAATGATATAACGTGCTCTGTACTGCCCTTAACTAACTATTGAAAGCGTGAGTGTTTTTTTCTTTTGTCTTCCATGAAGTCTATACATTGATTATGGAGTGCCTGTATACACATGCAAATGTGCACGCACACACACACACACACACACACCCCACATCACATATTGATGAACACAGTTTTCTCAACTAGGAATTCTGTGTCAAGTTAGGTCAAATTTGAGGCTGACTAACTTTGACAATATTTTCCTAGAAAGTACTATAAATATAATGTTTTATTTCAAGGCAAATGGTTGCTTTATAAAATATACATTTGTTCCTTTCTTTTATATTTGAATTCAGTTTTTATAAATCAAGAAATGCCCTATTGGACTTTCTGACCAGAGTCGTCGTATCCAATCTGAATAATGTAAATTTTATGCTAATAAACTCAAAAAAATTATCTATTCTTTAGAATGTTACTCTTCAACTGAAAATGCAGTTTGATAAGTTTTGAATGTTTCTCTTTGAAGCTGGGGACTGTCTTTTCCCAGTTTGTGTTCAAAATTTATGTTTTCCAGACTAAGACTACAAACAATTAAATTTTAAAACAGTCACTATGGTGACATTCTCTCTCCTTTTTCTGGCTTTCATTGCTACTTGAACATAAAGTTCTTAGAGCAGCACAAATTTATTTTTCTGCCTTCTATGTAGGGGTTTGCAGAGATAAAAATTGAAAATTTAAGACACAGAGGTTAGAACATTAACACTGAGTAAGACAACACTGGAAAGCAATTTCTGATTGGAAGCTCTTGCTTTTCCAGACATGAGGCATCTCTGCTGCACAGCCATTACATATATTGTTCATAAATGTGCAATCAATCTTCATTAAATCAGGTTAAATATGAATGCTGCTTTCCTGGATGTCGTCCAAAAATGGCATTGAAAGCATACTAAAGAATTTATTTAAAATCACACTCTGAACTTCACAAATACATAGTGGCTATTTTAAACTGATATCTTCTGAAAAAGAAAACGGTCTAAAAGAGAAGTTGAAAATATTTTATCTGATTACTACTGTCTGATCTAACTGCATAATTAATTATGCTGGGAAATAGCCTCATTTTTAATGGTTTTGTTTATATAGCGCCTGAACATTGCCTTCAAGGCGCAATAAAACTCTAACACCAAAAATTTAAGTGCAACTTAAGTAATCAGAATTTTCATTAAAATCTAAAGTATGATTTTATTGTAATTATCCACTCACGCGGATTTGTTGAATCTATGTCATTTGAATATAAATACACATTTCTAAGAGAAATGGCTTTAAGGAATTAAGTAACATTCAATTTTCCTCTTTTATTTTTATTTTCTTTTCTATGTTTCTTTAAAAAGATAGCTAAATCAAGCTATTTGTTTTAGCTGTGGATACAAAAATTCTGCCTACTAAATGCATATTATTTAAATGTTTGTGAATAAAGTGAAGAGTGTTTGGAAACTTTGCAATGCCAATTTTCTAATTTTCCACAACAGAAAATGGCCTAGGAAGTTGTCCTTGATATGTAGGAGGTAGTATTTACCTCCCTAAATAAATGATTGCATATTATGGGTCTAATCTCACCATAATACATTACAGAATTTATTCTGGAAACTTTTGTGACAATTAACAAGAATTACAGAAGCTTATTCTCTGCATGCATCAGAACAAGGGTACATTTGATTCTTTTAGGACCCCTAAATAACCAACTTGTATCACTGTTTCTTATGTTAGGTGAATTTAAACTGCAGTAAGCTATGTGACATATTTTTCAGGGTGAGCAATTGACAGTCTAAATCAGTGGTTGACAAATCCAGCCCACTGTCTGCTTTTGTAAATGAAGATTTAATGCAACCAATTTATGCACATCAGTTTTACGCATTGTTTACAGCGGTTTTCTTGCTACAATAGTGGGTTTGAATTGCTGTGACAGTGATGGTGTCACCACAAATCCTAAAATATTTTCTCCCTAAACTTTTACAGAAAAAAATTGCCATTCTTTCATCTACATGGATAACTATATAACATCCATTTCAAATGCAATGTTTTGAAAGCTCCAGAATCAGAACTTACGAACTCAGTTCACAATAGGACAAATACATGACTTGGTTACCCATGTAATTATATACAATGTGAATTGGGTATTTAAGGAATGATGTTCAAAACTTCATGAAGCCACGAACATCTATTCAAATGTCCCAGTTCTGCCTTAAGCAAAATATATATATATATATTTTTTTATCTTGTGGTTGAACTGTTATGTAGCAAAATAATAAATATTTAAATAATTAACAGTAACTATTTTATTCTAAATTACTTTTAACATAAAGAAATGCTAACATAAATAAATAATTGTTTAAACTAGCCCTGAATTACTTGTTCCTCAAGCAACATAAGCAGAGGCCAAGATATCTCATTTGCTGTGAAATGTTTGCTTTTAATTTTCCTACTTGTTGCTTTCTTTTTAAAATGCCTCAGTGTAAGCTGTTTGGTTAATGAAGAAAAACATCTGAACTCCTTTTATTATGTTTATTTGTGACAAATAACACATTCTGAATCAAAATTAACTTACCATCATTTCAAGTGCATATCAGTTACAGCTTAGCAACACCCTTTTCAGGTGTGGTCATTGTATAAAGAAGATGAACTGTTCAGTAGAATGATTTTTATTTTATCAATAAAAGTGAGACTTTGAAATGCCTTTATTATCATTTCACTGCTTGATATTGACTATCAATTTGTATCACATCATTCAATATCAATTCCAGAAACATCCGGAGCCTCACACACCTATTAGTATCTCAGAGCCAAGTAGTCGCAAACAGAGGAGGTAATACAACTGCTTTTGTTAATGTTCTCATGCGACAGGCAGAGGCAGTCAATATTAGACCTGGTAAGACACATCTAGCTCTAGGTGTAATCTGAGGGGAGATGCAGCAACAAGAAAGCAGCACCAACTGAGCATGCTCCTATTCAGGCAGAGACAGAAAGGGAGTGGACGTACTGTAGAAGCTGGCCATTACGTAGTTTTGGCAGCGATCACCAGTAAACTCATTTGGGCACCTGAGAGAAGAAACAAAAAAACAATGGTAGAAAAAACAGAGAAAAAGAGAAGAGGTGAATATATGCTAGAAAGAAGCTCCTCAGTGTCATTTGACTGAAACTTGGTGGGTTCACCCTCAGGAACCAAATCTTTGCCCTGATCATGGCTTTCAGGCTCTGGCACTTCCCCCAAATGGTAAAAAATTTGGACAGAATGCAGTTCTTAAGTTGGCATGATGGAAAGATCCCACCATTTTAAGTGTTTGCCTTCTTTCAAAGGGAACCATTTAAAATGAAACCTGACGTATTCATGTCAGTTTTCCATTTGATGACTTTGGTCACACATGCCGGGAGAAAATGGTTCTTGGTTGGCTTGCCTGCGATGGTTTGTCAGCATCACGGGCCATGGTGACTGGCCATTCTTATAAATTGATGACTTAGGGACCCACTTTGAGAGAGTTAAATAAGGTAATATTGAGGGTTTATGCCTTGAGTGGTCAAGCCATAATTAGAACAAAATGAATCAGTTACAACTGAGCTGTAAAAGCACCAAGTGGTAGTGATTGTTGCTGTAGTTCGGGGGAGAAAGCAAATTTCAGATTATTTTAACATACTTTCTTGGTTTTGGACTTTCATGGGCACATTCTCAGTACATCTTGCTCCAGTGAATCCAGGTTGGCACCTAAAGGGCAAAAATGTGGTAAGCAAAAAAATGCTAAAGACACTGAGCTTTCAGACTGGCAATTTTCCTCCTATGGAATATGGAGATTCCTAAAAATGATCTGGTACCAGGCAATATAAAGAAAAGAAAAGACACAACATTTAGAAAACCATGTCCCACGAAAACTGTGGGTTACAGATTTTGTTGTTGTTTGCTTCAGTCCTCAAATGATACATTAACTGAAATTTAACTAGAGGAAGCTGAAATGTGGAATAAGAGGCGGCACGGCCTGGAGAGCTGTCGGTTTCCCTTTGGCATGACCCTATTTGCCACGGATCAGTGATTCTCACTATGTTAAAACACTGGTTTTGATAAAAGCTAACAAGATTCCATCCCTGTCTCTTATCAATAAATGAACTTGAGCTTTTTCTTTCATATACTTATTTCAATTTTGTCTTTATTTCATAAGTGTTTCATGTTGTATGTCATCAAACAACATGTCAGTTACTTTCACACTATGATTACTGACAAGAAAAAGTATATTCCCTGTTTTTTTAAAAAAGATATTAAAAATAAACTCTTGTTTTTAATATTCAAAGATACTGGAAACAGATTGTTATGAAGACAGATTTTACCTAATCACATTATCCAAAATCAAAGACAAATACATTTTAAAATTTAGATCAGTTATTCTTAGGCAAAAGTACTTAAAACATGTCATTTTGCATTTAAGGTAAAACTATTTTAAAAACTGTTATAAAATTTACATGTTATTCACTCACATATATTTGCCTATCAAAATTCTAGAATCTTGATACAATATTAAGGTCTTAAGAAACGGGGCTGTGCTTGAATACGGGAGTTCTTTATAATTGCTGTTTTTTTGTAGCTGTTACTCTAATATCTAAAACATTTTAAATAGAATTGATTTTTAAAATATCGTCTTCTAATAAAAAGGGTCACTGAAAGGTTCTAGGAAGCTATATACTTACAGATAAAAAGATTATCATTTTGAATCCTCAACATCCATAGTCATAATTATTATTAATGGTTCATCTATATAGCAATCATCATGCAAAGAGCCTATCTAAGTTAGCTCTGGTAGCTCATACCTAGTGATTTTTACACAACTCTATTCTCTACAGAGTAAATGAGAATATATACTATATTTTTGGCATCAAAGAGATATGAACAAAACTATTCATTGTTACCAATATCAGGGTAATTTCATTTCCCTTCAAGCCATATTACCAAGTGACTTGGTATATGTAATTCTCTTATTTTATGAAAATGGCCTGCAAGATAAAACACTAGTAGTTCCAGATTTTTTGCTTTGTGAGTACTTGTTTAAGCTTAAATGACAAACATCTTATATTGATATAGCTCCTTTAAACTCTTGGAGACACCTTCCTATAAATGAACTGATGATTTTTGCTTAGAATATTTTTGCTGCAGGGAATAGAGGAAGAGCTACCTAAAGAAATATGTTAATAAGAAGTATAAGGTGTAAGATTGGGTTATTTCTCAAAAAGATGCCATTTCTCATGCTTCAATAAGAACATTTTCATGTTCTTACATAAATAACTTTAAAATATAACCTATTTGACAAAATAATGTCTGAAGGAAATGGGGTTTTTATTTGTTTCTCAACCAGGAATGTAAGTTCATATAGACATACCCTATAATTAAAGCAGGTGCTTCTAGAAGTAATGATGTATTCAATAATTATCATTTCGTCTTGCTTCTTTGCATTCTTAATAAAAGTTAAAATTCTCACATTGAACACACAATAATCCACTTGTTTCTCACAAAAGAACATGGTGTAAGATATGTGAACATGTTGTGTGTATGTAAGACACACACACCACACAATTGCCATGGCAGGAAATGCCCTTAGGTAAGCATCACGAAATTAACAAATAGCTGACAAATCATGAGTTCCTTAAGAGAAAGAAGGCATTTATAAGTAAATCGTCATTATGCATCTTATAAACGGTTCTGTGATCAGAGGGCACATTACAACTAGGTAAAGGGAGTCAGAAATCCTACCCAATCTATTTTCTAATTATTATGAACTTCTAACATGATGTTTCCTAGGAAGCTAGCATGAGATGATGGCTTATCTCTATTATAAAATCACACGGAACACTGGGCACAGTAACACTAGAACTACTTGAGATATGCAAATCAGTTTTTAGAGTTGCCCACTACTCCTCAACCAGAACTATCCTTTTGTTAGTGTTTATCTTCATTTGGGAGATGAATTTTCTCAGCATTGTTTCTTAGTGTATAAGACCCTGTTATTACTCAGAACTGGCAGCATCAGCATCTCTTAGGAACATGCTAGCACATCCTACAACTACTGAATAAGAATCTTCATTTTAACAAGATCCCTAAGAGATTTGGATGTAGATTAAAGTCCAAGACCTAAGGTTCTCTGAACTGGGAAGAGGGAGACGAAGGCCCTCTCTCGGCACTGTGGTATCCTGCTGTTTGGACATGGACAAGCTCTTTGGCTTTACTGGGCCTCCTTTTCCTCAGTGATAAAATGAAGAAATGTAATTGAGTATCAAAGACCTCTTTTTCCACTAAGGTTCTGGGAAACCATACTTATCCTAACACATGGAATCACTGTTAGAAAGCCCTGACAGCATTTCTTCTGAATGAAGTACCAGTCAGGGACGATAGAACTCAAGGACTTCTAAAAATCCTTTTTGATAAGATGGATTTTAAGACAATCATTGAGGTAAAACAAATTTTAAGTGCTGAAGCAACTCAACTGATCAGCAACAAAAGGATGTAGCCTTCACAGACATTTAAATTTGTTGCCAAATGGGATGGAAGGGAAAGCGGAAACTGAGATAGCTTCTGCATAAGCAAACTGCACACCGAATTGATTGTGTAGAAAAAACCTATGCAAATGGAAACCCAGCTGATCTAAAAGTTCTGTGAAATTCTATGGAATTACTTCTAACAGGCTAGGGAGACTCTCTGGCTTCTGATACATTTCTATTACTAACATTGCATGTTAAGCACCCAATCCATCACTTTCCCGGAAGATAAGAATAACAGGAAATCAAACCTGATTTCGAACAATAAGCTTTGGCATGAGATTGAGCAAGTTCTAAGAATTTTATGTCTTAGAATAATCTAAGGATCTGAATAATAAGTACTTGTTGTAGTTTTAAATATATACATGTGTGTGTATATACATATAGACATACATAAGTATACATATACACCATTTGTTTCATTAATCAGATTAGAAGATGGAAATCAGGGTTTTTAAATGTTTTAGTATTTGCCCTTAGCATGATCATGTTTGTTCTATATTTGTTATTAATGGGGCGAAAATTTACAGTTTTGTCTGAACTTAGGCATCACTCTTTCCCTGCCTCCCACCTCCCGATCGCCCACTTCTATGCTCTGGGGAGAATTCCTTTACTCTTGGCTTGGCTTTTGCATTGCACCCTATCCTGATCTTTCACTGCACTTATCTGTAGTGTGATGATCTGTGACACACTGATCACATTCTGATCATTTTGTATCTCTAATGCCTAGCACAGTACCTGATCCATAGAGGACTCTCATAAAATGTCTGTGAAAATGAACTTAAGATCAGACCCAGTGTCCATATCTGATCAAGAATTGTATCAAAAGATACTTTCAGGCAGGCATGGTGGCTCAAGCCTGTAATCCCAGCATTTTGGGAGGCTGAGGCTGGCAGATTACTTGAGGCCAGGAGTTCGGGACCAGCCTGGGCAACATGGTGAAACTCCGTCTCTACAAAAAATACAAAAATTAGCTGGGCACGGTGACAGTCATCTGTAATGCCAGTTACTTGGGAGGCTGAGGCAGGAGAGTCATTTGAACACTGGAGGCAGAGGTTGCAGTGAACCAAGATTGTGCCACTGCACTACAGCTCGGACAACAGACTCCATCTCAAAAAAAAAAAAATTCATATGGTTAATTGATTTGCCAAGTACAGGTCAATCTTGAACATGTATCTGTTATTTTTATAGTTTTTATTTATTTATTTATTTATTTATTTATTTATTTATTTATTTATTTAGATGGAGTCTTGCTCTGTTGCCCAGGCTGGAGTTCAGTGGCACCATCTCGGCTCACTGCAACTCTGCCTCCCAGGTTCAAGCGATTCTCCTGCCTCAGTCTCCTGAGTAGCTGAAATTACAGATATGTACCAACACCTGGCTAACTTTTGTATTTTTAATAGAGATGGGGTTTCCCCACGTTGGCTGGGCTGGTCTCAAACTCCTGAACTCGGATGATCCAAAAGCCTTGGCCTTCCAAAGTGCTGGGATTACAGGTGTTAGCCACCGTGCCTGGCCTCAAATAATTT